GATTGAAATCTGAAAATCCTTCCAAGGTCCTATTTTAGTTGCCTTTTCAGAAATCTTTATTTGTCATCAGGTGTACATTATATGTGTACATTATATATAAAATATATACACATACTGCTGATATCAAAGTTCTTTTGAATGTATTGTATTGAACATTTCATTATCTGTAAAAAATTTATTACAATAAATAAAGATGTTTTTTTTTGTTCAGCCAAAACTGCCATTTGATTGGCACCTTTATTGTACTTTTCAATTATGGCATTTTCACCCTATCACCATATAGCAATATAAGACCCTATTCCCAATCCAAAATAGTCTCTTTTTCCTAATTTTTTAAAACAAAAGTTTGCAACAGCAGCCAAGAAAAATAAAACAAATTCAACTTCTGAAGAAAATTGAAAACTGTTTGACTGTTTCCTTAAAGAGAAGTAGCCGGGGTTATATAAATATGATCATAACAAATGTTAAAAACCTGATATAAGTAAGTCCTTCAACTTTTTTAAAATTCCTCAAATTTCCTAGATTTGCTGAATAATTTTTAACTGACCTGTCGCCAAATTGACATGGTGAGCTTTTGTGAATTGCTTTTCATCCGTCGTCCGTCTGTCTTGTAAACTTACTTTAAACGACATCTCATAAACCGCTAAGCCAATTTCATTAGAAACATTGAAAATTTTCAAAGAATTGAATTCAATACAGGACTGTGGTTGCCATGGCAATGCAAAGAAAAAAAAATCTATAAAAACCCCATAAGAAGCTAGAGCTTAGATATTTATGTGAGTCTCTACCAAGTTTGCTATAATTAAAAGCCTTTGGGGTCAAAATTGGCCTTGCCCCAGGGGGTCATTAATTGTCCTTATATGTTATATAGGAAAAACAAAAACATCCTTTTAAAAAAGCTAAAGAGCTAGAGCTTAGATTATTTGGACAATGAAGCATCTTCATGTGGTTGTCTACCAAGTTTGTTTAAAATAAAAGCCTTTGGGTTAAAATTGGCCCTTGCCCCAGGGGTCATTGATTTTTCCTCATATCTATAAAGTAAAAAAAAAAAAATAAATAAAATAAAAAACCCAGTGGTAAGGAAATAAGGGTTATTCAATGTGTTTTTCTTTGAATTAGTTTGACCATCTTGAAACAATATCAAATTTATTAATTTACTTGTCATGAAAAAGTGAAAATACATATATTTAGACAATGTTCTTAAAAAATGATTTATTGTCAAAAACAAGACTTAGTAGATGTTATAAAAAAATGTTGTTTAACTGTTAACATTACATTTCTTTGCTATATCAACCTTACTCGGACAGGCTTTCAGATCATTGATGGATGTAGTGTTTAGCAGTGGGTGTGTTTGTTTTACATAGAAGTTGAACTTATGGCATCAGAAATATTTTCATTGCAAGAGGAATATTAGTAAGGAAGTAGTAGATTTTGAAAAAAAAATATGATATATATTTGATAAATCTAGTAATTCTGACAGATAAAGCTTATCATATTTTGTAATGCATTGCCTTATTTGTTTTGTAGGATCCTTTTGATGTAGGTGTACATAAGCAGACCAATGACAGTCAGGGAACTAGAGAAAACCCTATTCTTGTTCCAACAGTTGAGGGATACAGGCTTGTAGGATGTGTTTGTAAGTTATGATTTCCTAAAACCCTTTACAAATGATTTCTTCGAACAATGCAGAGCTTCCATTAAGTTAAAAAAAATGGAAGTTAGAAACTGCTAAATCAAGCTTTAGTTCAAACATATTTATTTAGCTCAATTATGAAACAAGTTCTTTTGCAAATTTTGGAGTCTGGAACAAACCAGTACTGGTGTTTTATGAGTAAACATGAACCTGACCCAAGTAGGGCTTGAACACATGATCCTTCGGTTAGGAGGCAAACACCTTAACCACTAGTCCACCACTCCCCTCCAGGCTGCTTCACCTTAAGAAGGAAAAGCTAGAGCTGTCATCGATAGAAACAATATCAATGTATCATTGATATTTTTCTGTCGATCAATAATCGATACACATTTCAAAAAATTGATAATTTTGACTTATTAACTATTAAATGTCTAGAAATTAGGAAAATTCAACAAAAGCATATACAAAAGCAGGTGTCCATGTCTAACATCTGTTGTCAGTGATTTTTTTCGTGTTTATTTTACAGCCGAATAAAGGCTGTTTCCCCTACGGCCTAGCCAAAAATATGTATATTTTCCCCTAAAATGTTAATATTTTTCCTAAAATGCCCTGTGCACATTCTTCACCAGAACCTTACTTAATATCAGCTAGAAGATAAAGCTGTCCCTATAGATAGTCTCTGCTATGTACCATGCATGTTAAAGTGAAATCAAATTGAAAAATTTATAATATGTTGGGTAAATTCCATTCTCAGTTATTGGTATTTTCCCCCTTTTCTGATTTATCGGGCTATATTTTCCCCTTTAGAAAGCCAGAGGTTGTTTTGAAAATTGCAAAAAAAAAATCACTGGATGTTATATAGTGGAAATATTTCACAGCAATGATTGAAATAACAAAAAAATGATCTGGATAAAAATCATGCAATGGGCAAATAACACACTGAACAGAACATGTTTGAAAACTGAAATCATTTAAACAGGTATAAAAGTGAATGACAGACAAGTGATTTTATGTAATTATCGATATATCTGTGTATTGTTGATATTTGTCATCCAATATCAATATATCGTTATTATGTCTTGCCTTGAATCAATGACAGCTCTAGGAAAAGCGTTAATAATTGACAACATTTCTACAGTCATTAAAAACTTGACATTATTGAACTTTGTCATGTTCTTGACACAGATACAAAAAAAAAAAGTTTACCATCTTGTTTGAAAAATATTGGCCATCAATGTAAAGGCCCATTATGCCTTATAAAAGCTATCATATATTTAAAAAATCTTATTTTTGGTAGCTTTCTTACAGTTAAAAAGCACTCATTTGCCATATAGATAAACTATCTAAACTATAAAGTATATTATTGTGAAGTTACCAATAGAATAAAACTTACACATAATCAATGGCACTTACAACCCATGTACATGTAAATTATCTTAAAGAGGTCAAAATATGCAAAAATAGCTCTTACTGCATTAGTAATGCAGTAGAAATATAGTAATAAATACTGAAAAATCGATAATTAATCGCACATAACATGTAAATTTTTACTAGAATCTTGAATCTTTATACTTTTCCTAAAATTTTAGTACATTTTTCTCAGATTTGATTTTATCAAAATATGTTTGCTCATCTTGAGTCGAGCAGCTTTAAGGAGTTAATGTCTTCTTGATCAATGTTTTAAGCTTGATTATTTAAAGAGAAGTGAACTATCATCCTTGTCCTTGATACAACAAATTTGCTAAGATTTGCATAAGCTGTTGCATATCTCATAAATAATTACTGAGGGTATCCCTTTTAACTTTTTATGTCTTTGTTTAAGGTGTATTAACCAGTTAGGATCTTATTGAATTGAAATCCCTTGTGAATTTTAAAGAAATGTCTTGTTAAGGTTTACTTATTTCAAAGAGATTATTAAAAACCCTTTATTTCATGAATCTCTTTCCAAATTGGCATTTTGCGCAATCCAAGTATAAATTGAAACTAAAAATAACTTACTTTTATATTTGGGAAAAAGATCCATCAGGAAAACACCTTAATACAGTTATCAGGACATTTCACCAGGAGCAGATATAAATAAAAAAAAATCTTATCTCAATTTCAAATTTTTTCTTTAATGCAACATAATTTTTAACCAGGTTTTCCGAAGGAAAAAACTGGTTATTAGATTGAGGTATGTCGGCGGGCGGGCGGGCGGACGGGCGGGCGGGCGTAAACAATTTCTTCTGTGCGCAACTCCTCCTACATTTCTCAACGGATTTTGACCAAACTTTCACAGAAGCTTTGTCATCAAGTGCCCTGGCGCATATTGTCGGGGTTTTGCGATTAGATAATATTTGACCTAATTATGGCCCTTTGTTTTTTTTCCTTATATAGAATATATAGTGAACAATTTCTTCTGTGCGCAACTTCTCCTACATTTCTCAACAGATTTTGACCAAACTTTCTCAGAAGCTTTGTCATCAAGTGCCCTGACACATCTTGTAAGGGTTTTGCAATTGGTTTATATTTGACCTAATTATGGCCCTTTGTTTTTTTTCATTATATAGAATATATAGTGAACAATTTCTTCTGTGCGCAACTCCTCCTACATTTCTCAACGGATTTTGACCAAACTTTCACAGAAGCTTTGTCATCAAGTGCCCTGGCGCATATTGTCGGGGTTTTGCGATTAGATAATATTTGACCTAATTATGGCCCTTTGTTTTTTTCCTTATATAGAATATATAGTGAACAATTTCTTCTGTGCGCAACTCCTCCTACATTTCTCAATGGATTTTGACCAAACTTTCTCAGAAGCTTTGTCATCAAGTGCCCTGACACATATTGTCAGGGTTTTGCAATTGGTATATATTTGACCTAATTATGGCCCTTTTTTTTTTATTATATAGAATATATAGTGAACAATTTCTTCTGTGCGCTGAACAGTCCTCCTACATTTCTCAACGGATTTTGACCAAACTTTCACAGAAGCTTTGTCATCAAGTGCCCTGGTGCATATTGTCGGGGTTTTGCGATTAGATAATATTTGACCTAATTATCGCCCTTTGTTTTTTTTCCTTATATAGAATATATAGTGAACAATTTCTACAGTGCGCAACTTCTCCTACATTTCTCAATGGATTTTGACCAAACTTTCACAGAAGCTTTGTCATCAAGTGCCCTAGCGCATAATGTCAGGGTTTTGTGATTGGATAATATTAGACCTTATTATGGCCCTTTGTTTTTTTTCCTTATACAGAATTGAACAAATTCTTCTGTGCTGAACTCTTCCTACATTTCTCAACGGATTTTGTTCAAACTTTCAAAGAAGCTTTGTCATCAAGTGCCCTAGCACATATTGTCGGGGTTTTGTGATTGGATAATTTTTTACCTAATTATGGCCCTTTGTTATTTTTCCTTATACAGAATATATATAGTGAACACTTCTTCTGTGCGCAATTCCTCCTACATTATTCAATTGTTTTACATTGCACATAGTTACATTGTTTGTTGCTTGTATTTGTTTTTCAAATACAACATATTTATCTACAATGGTGATAATTGAAAACCTGGTTTCATGGCATTGCCATGTTTCTTGTTCCTAATTAAATCCAGGGTCTTTTATCTTAATAGTAGAACAAGGTGGTTTATTGAAATAACTCCAGTTATAAAGATGAAATTTCAAATTATAAATGTATATTGATTTATTAATTTTCTTGTTTACCAGGTGAGGAGGATTTGACAGAGGTGTGCTGGATGACCATTCATCATGGAACTAAGAGGCAGTGTAATTGTGGAAATTGGTTCCAGTGTGTGCAAATTCCTGGAGCTGTAGCCCATTAATATAATAAAACTTCTCTATTCTTTAGTAAACAATTATAAATGACATTGTATGTATGATGATATCAATTTTGAATATTCAAATCATCAGGTTTTGTTTTGCAAAAAAAAAGGAACAGAAAATATATGTCAAAATTTATAAATTTGTTGTTTTGAAATACTAAGAAAATTTGGCAAGTTGTATCAGATGTCAATTTCCCCTGGTTTTCTTTGGTCTTGAAAGTTGGCAAAAGTTTAAAGTTATTGTATTTATTTTTAATCATCAGCTATATTGTGAGCCATTTTTTTCTCTTTTTTGACTGAGGAATTAGAAAATAGCATAATTATTCTGTTTGATTAGGGATGTGCTGTTTGAAAAAAGGAATTAAAATATGATTTAAATATAAAAATTGTGTTTGTATTTGATATTTACAAAAATGTATAACTATATTAATATGGTAGTAATACAATGTTTTTATGTGTTTTAAATGTCAAAACATCTTACTTTGCCATCTATACAACTAACTTGATTCTTAGTACACATAGACATAGTTTGTCAACTACAGATGTATAAAATTTAGACGTTTAACAAGTTACAGAATAATTCAACTATTAGTACATGTTTTAATTTTTTGCCAGTCATTTATTTGTCGGTTTCGAAGAAAATGTTTAAATATTATGATCGCTGCTGAGTCATCGTTGTTCTGCAAAATCAATACTGTAGCCAATTAGATGTTAAGGTGCTTGATAATCATGACAAGGCTCAGTTGTGACACAAGGGGCTTAATTCTGAAAGAAATATATTTATAAAAATATAGAGTTATTCCCCTTAAGAACATCGAATTTTTAACTGTCAAGCGTGGACACCACATACAGTGTGCCCTCGTTGATAATATTTACCCTTGTTACACCCTTCAAGGCAAGTAAATAGTAATTGCATTATCTGTACCTCTAAAATTTCGTACAACTATTTTTGAACAACCACTAGAATTTCATAGGAAACTTTACTGCCTTCAGACGAGTATGTAAAGATCAAGAAAAGAGCAAGTTACGTTACAGTAATTTTTTTTACAGAATAATGCACATTTTAAGCAGTTAATGTTGATTATTATTGCGTCGGCACTCTTATTGATGTTCCATTTAGGGTCACTGTACGGCGATCCTGTCTGTAAATTTATTTGCACCATCTATATTAATTACGATAATTCTACTACATGTATGCACATAATTTACCTTTATAAGTCAGATTACCCCTCGTTTGCTATTGCTTTTGTTGATATGTTAGATCATATCCAACACGGACTGAATATTAACGAAGTAAATCACGATCTTTAAACACTTGATATTTGTCGTCATCATGTCTTGTAAGATGCTACCCAATACTCATCTGTCATCTGGTTTCCAACCTCATATTTCAATCCTGATTGAGTGTCATTGTACGTTTCGACAGTATTCGTTATTATGCATATGGTCAGTGTCTTCACACATAATTTCAGTGATATCGCTTATAATACATCAACCTTTGTCATCACTATGTTATTTATTTATGAACTTGTTTCATTCTTTGGCGAAAGATCATTTATCGGTGGTTAATTTGAATGTGACCTTGACCTTGAATAGCATTGACCGTCAAAGTGTTCAAATATGAATTCTGAATTTTATTTTTCACCAAAAAAGGATGTTTTCAAGAAATACTCTTTACTATGATATTCTTCATCTCCTCACGAGTTTGACTTGAGAAATAAGAAAAAGATGAGCGTGTTTTAGACGGTGGATCTTGTTTTTCTTTCAAGTTGTCATGCATGGCAATATACCATATCTTCCGTATTGTTTCCTTCCAATATCGGGGATTGCTTTCAATATTTGATATTGGTCACGTTTACAATGAAACATTTATGCCAGTTTCAGCTCTTATTCGAACGATTTTAACAGTATTTTTTGTCTTTCTAAATATTAAAAGTAACCAAATATCGTTTTTGTACAACAAACTGATGCTACGGAATATACTCGCTGGGCTTAAAATAAAGAGCTGGTAAGCAGGTTTGTAAGACAAAGGCTCTCTTGCACAATCGGTTCTCTGGATATGTTGTCGGTGAAATTGGTTATTACTATAATGTACCGACCGGCTAGATATGACCAAAATATGTTTAAATCGGGGGAAAATACCAACCAATCAACGAGTAGTCAAATAGTATCTATGCTATCGTTATAGATCAAATATGATGTTTGAAAAATATCTAGTTCTTTTAATCGGAAACATGAAAATACTGTCGACGCGATCTAACAAGGAACGATGGATTATGTATGCTAAAAGGACAGGACAATACATATTTATAGTCTAACTAAACACAATACTTATTGTCAATGCTAGAACAGAAAAAGCATACACGCTCTTCTGTTTCTAAGTTTTCGTATCACCCCTGTTTATAACTGTATCGGAAGCACCCACAATGCTGACATATTTTGGGAGGTAGAATAACTTTAAAGTAGTTTTGTCTTGTAGTGGCGAGGTTTGGTTTTGCTTCTTGTTGACTATTGACCTAGGTTAACCAATCAGATTTATACCCGTCCAAGCATGCGTCTGTAACTTTTTATCGGTTATAACATACCTGTACATTGAATATAATGGCTGACTGTTTTATATATATATACTAGGACGAAAAAGAAACGCCGGGTAACCTATAATGATTGTTTTAAGGGATAAATTGTATTATTGGATTATTATATTCATTTTTGTATGAAATGTCATCTGTATGGAACCAGCTGTTGAAGTTTCAATCGATTTTCGATGCTGATTATGTGAAAAAATACCCCCTTTTAACGATGACCCTTCTTGTTTTGCGAAACATGGCCGGACATATCAGTATCTTGTGTGTCCTCCATGCGCAGCTGTGGCAGCCCTGATCCGTCTATGCATGGAATTCACCAGGGTGTTAATCATGGCCATGGGGATGTTATTCCATTCTTCATGCAAGGCATGTGTGAGCTGGACATGATTAGTGGGGGCATTTGGACGTCTCCTTACCCTCCTATCCAGTTCGTCCCACAAATGTTCAATTCGGGACAAATCTGGACTGAATGCTGGCCAATCGAATGGGTGTATGTTACTGTTGGCAAGAAATTGCTGGCAAACTCTGGCGACATGGGGCATTATATAAATCTGACCGATTTTCATTATTTTAGGCCAAGCAATAAAATATGTGTTGCATATTTTATGTACCCGGCGTTTCTTTTTCGTCCTAGTATATATAATTTACGTTTCAATGGCTTAGAAAACATGTACAATTGCAAAATAACTAGAAAGTGTCTTATTAAAGCTACTATCTCAGACATTTTTTGAAATTAAATTTGGTTTAAACATATATTATTGCCAGAAATGAAACATATACGCGCATGTAAAGACAGTTACAAAACATGTTCATTAATACAATGGCTGACTATTCATTATATATATATAATTTACGTTTCAATGGCTTAGAAAACATGTACAATTGCAAAATAAAAGAAAATAATAAAAACAACAACAAAGAACCAAAATAGAAAATAAACCAAAAAAAAAAGTAACTAATGAGAAAATGAAAAATTTAAGGGGGAAAAAGAATCTTGTCTATTGTTTCGCTCGCTTACAAACCCTATATCAAGTTGAGAAACTAATAGCGAACATCATGGATCCTGATCAGACTGCGCGGATGCGCAGGCTGGTCTGGATCCATGCTGGTCGCAAACCCATTATGTTGGTTTTGTCGTGACGCGGCTCATTTTTTGCAATAATCATCATGCTGAAATTTTGAACCGTTGCAACGTTTTATATTGTAAATATTGACTTGTATCAAAAACACGCCTGCTCCTGTTACTCAATTTTTAATGGTTTTATATCATAAGTATAATAACTAAGAAAAAATGGTTTGATAAAGAATGCTATGAGGCCAGAAAAGCATTAAATAGAGCAAGAAATGTATTTTTGAGAAATAGAACGAACGAGAATAAAAGCATTTTCATAAATAAAAGAAAGGTATATAAGAATATAAAACTGAGATGTAAACGTTTATTCAAAAAGACAGAGGGGAAACGAGTGTCAAAATTAGCAAAATGTAACCCAAAGTCTTTTTGGAGAAATGTAAGAACACAATACAGGCAACCTACTATAGAAAATAGTAACATAAGTATTGATGATATGTATATACATTTTAATAGTTTGTACGGTTCTACACCACTGTATGATCATGAAAATAATGATGTACATAATGATTACGTATATGATAATGATTTAGATGTTGAATTTACATCGATGGAGATAAAAATGCAATATTTTCGCAAAACAATTCTAAATGCCCAGGTACTGACCATCTCATTGCAGAAGTATTTAAAAATTCAATTGATATAATTTGTCCATTTCTCACACGCTTTTATAATAAAATATTTAATGATGGCGTATTTCCTGAATGCTGGGGAGAAGGTATTATAGTACCAATTTTTAAAGGTGGGGCTCATGAAGCAAAAACTTTCGCGGAATTACCCTAAATAATATTTTGTCCAAAATATACTCAAAATTATTAGTTGATAGACTTATTAAATGGGCTGATAAACATGAAAAATTTATTGATAATCAATATGGTTTTCAAAGGAATAAGTCAACTATTGACTGTATTTTTGTTCTACATGCCGTAATAACAAAGACTTTGTCGAATAAGAAGAAACTCTATGTAGCATTTCTAGATTGGGAGAAAATGTTTGACCGTATTGATAGGGTTTTATTATGGAGAAAGTTACTGAATGAAAATATAAGTACAAAATTTGTTACTGCAATCAAGTCAATGTATGGTATTGTTAAATCTTTTGTAAAATATAAAAACATGCATTCTGATCTAATTAATTCTAAGATTGGAGTGAAACAGGGAGATCCAGCAAGTAGCATATTGTGTTTATTTTTTCTCAATGATATATTAAATAATATAAATAGGAACATTCCTGGTATTGTTAACATTGATGATATACAGGTATTTTTGTTGTTATTTGCAGACGACGCTGTAGTTTTCACACATGATCCAAATTCATTACAATCTATCTTGAATGATATAGAACATTATTGCAATATGTGGAATCTGAAATTAAATGTGTCTAAAACAAAAGTAATGATTTTTGAAAATGGTAAACATACATCTTATGATTTCTTTTTGTATAACACAAGAATTGAAATTGTAGAATCTTTTAAATATTTAGGTGTGTATCTTTTTAAAAATCGAAACTGGAACAGAACTCAAAAATATATTGCGCAACATGCGTCATATTCGATCACTACATAATTTATTTATTGTATGTAACCAGTTGGAACTTCCAGTTTCCCAAATGATAAGTTTATTTGATAGTACTGTTTTACCAACATTAAATTATGCTGCAGAAGTGTGGGGGC